CTCTCCTTCTCATCCTCCGGACTTTCATCGGTTAGGGGATGACTCTCGTAATGGTCTCTAAAATACTTCGTCAACCAAGTAATTGAGACTTGGTGTTTCCTCATTGGTGGCATGCGATCGGTCGCATCAACGCACCCCTTCACCGGTACTTTCAATCCCAAATGACTGTGGATGAACTGAACCCAACCGGGCATACCGTCACGATCCTCAGGGGGATGATCACTCACGCACACCGGTTTGCCGTCGATGGGCAGATGGGTTAGGATGGCGACATCCTTTAGCGTGATGGTGGTCTCTCCTTCTCTAAAGTTGAAACAATGGGTCTCCTTTCTCCATCTCTCGGCTAGTGCGGTGATGAGTTGGCGATCAACTTTGATGTCGTTAAAATGCCGAACCGAGTCCAACCGTGCCCTTTTGAGAAAGGGCAAGATAGCTGGGTGGAATGGGAGCACATTGGTCGTACCCCTGTAGCGGAGTATCGTTTGTGCTTCCTAGCGAAAATTTACACGTTAATTATTATATATTAGTAAGGGTTTTTTCTTATAACTAAATTAATTAAATTATTTAACTTCAAGCAGAATTTTATTATCATAAAAAGACATTTCATATTATCATATTATCATAAAACAAACATCCTAAATTAATTAACATAATAACATTCTAAATGAATAATAATTTAAAGAGATACATACATATTATCGTAAAACAAACATACTAAATTAATTAACATAAATAACATTGTTAATGAATTGGGTGGGTGCCGAATGGGTGCGGTTGGATCGTTGGTCAACCTGCAAAAGCAATTCTCCAACTACCCATTAAAAAAAGTTGACTAACATTTATAATAAGTTCATAATAAATTAGTAAGACTGCCACTTCTCACTTTGTCTCAAGTGAATCCATGTAGTATTTGCATCAAAATCTTACTACCCTATCAACCAATTGTGTGGAGAAAACTTATGCATTTTGTGATTTTGATATAATTAATAATTTATAGTTTGCATCTCAATATTTAATGAATACTAACAATACTTTGCATCCCAATATTCAATATTTAATGAATATTGCACAACAAAATAACCAATAATAGTAGTCAAACCATTATTTATTCTCCACCTTTTGAAGTATATGGTTATCAGACTGTAGTGAAATTTGAAAATATAATGAATATTTAAGAATCAACATTTTTTCATGTAAAAATATGATGCGGGTCATACGGGTGACCCACAATCCACCCATCAAGTGCGGATGAGAGATTTAACAATCCGCAATCCACCCATCAATCACCCACTGCTTGCGAGTTAAATTATTTGTTGGCGGATCGATATCAATCCGCGGATTAACCACTCACGTGCTCACCCCAGTAAAAGTGTAAAACACAGAAGAAGCAGGCGGAACAGACTAATATCACTAGTAGTAAAAGCCCAAAGAATAAGAAATGGATCAACGCAAAAGCCCGTAGAGTAAAGCGAGCCCGCAGAGTAATTCTTTGGTTCCTCGGGTTTCAACACCTCAAATCCATATCCAACCCAATAATTATTAGGTTCAAGTTTCAACACCCAAACCCATCCAGTTTCATCATAAAATCGTGAAAAGCGGGTTTGGTTGGCTGGCACATGTGTTCGGTTTGCGAGTGTATTTTTATACCCCTATGTGGCAATGTGCATTAATTTTGGGTCTTGTTCTCCACAAGTATAATGAAGCAAACCACAAAACACAAATTAGAAACACCACAAATTAGTCGACAAATACTATAAAACACACCAAAAAAGCATATAGAACAGATCATAACCTCACAACACCAAAAAATTATAAAGCATACCAGAAATTTAAAGTATACTACTAGTTCACTGAAGCATACAAGAAACCTCATAAGCATACCACAAGTTCCCTAAAGTACACGAAAAAAACCTCAAATCATACCACAAGTTAATTAATATAGACCACAAGTTTGTTAAAGCAAACCACAAGTTTATTAAAACAGAGCAAAAGTTTATTAAAGCATACCACAAGTTTCCTGAAACTGTTGAGAAACCTCATAAAGCATGCGACAAGTATATTAGAGCAAACCACAAGTTTCTTAAAGCAACCAGGAACCTCATACAGTCGATCACATATTTATTAATGCATAGAACAAGTTTCTTAAAGCATACTAGTAACCTCATATAGTCGGTCACAATTTATTAATGCATACAACAAGTTTTTAAAAGCAGACTATAAACCTAAAAAAGCAGGCCACATGCCTCATAAAACATACAAAACAAACCCAATACACCATTTTTTACTCAAGGTATACTATACCTTTGGTTTTACTCGTGGTACGACAGAACCTTCCACAATTATATATTAACTATTTGGTTATTGGGTAAGTGTAAGTGATCCACATTAGGAGCCCAAATTTATCTTGTATGTGATATAGGGTGGAAACCCAATACTTGCTTACCTTGAATTTTACGAGAGGCCATGAGGACCTACAGAAGGGAAGTGGATCTGATTTGCCACGACCACGTAAACGCATTTCTGGGAAGTAGATTCGGTGAGTCCCTCATCAAACTCGTAAGTACCAGAGTTCCAATTGTTCTTCCACAGCTTCAACCTCTTCAACTCCGGTTGTAACTTAAAGCAGTCAGCGAAATCAGCATCGGCGACCATTTCCTCTTCATTCCGAAGTCGCAGCCTCACCGCCACTCTGACTATTCCTGGAACTCCGACGTCATCTTTGGGAGAAGAGAAAGAGCCTGATGCCACCAAGGTAATACCCAAATATGAATTCATGAACTAGGATCCAGCCAGCGCAAGACTATTCTTTCGACGGAGGAAGCCTGCTTTGCAAGTTGAAACTTGAAACCATATCTTTTGGAAGCGAGTCTGAGAGATATGGATTTTGGAGATCATGTGGCGAACGTTGCCGGCGATGAAGGTTTTGGCAAAGGACATGGCATTGGGATCTCTGAAAATTATCTTCTCCATGGCGCGATTCCAGTTGAAATTAGCAATTTCATTGCGGAATTGGATGTGGGCATCATGGAGGAGCTCGTTGGTGAGGCGGTGAGTATTGAAACCGTAATAGTTCGTATTGTGATGATGTGTTGCAAGTATAGGAAGATTTAGGAAGCGCATCCTAGCTGGTCGTTTATGTTACTCAGGGGACTGCAAGTCGGCTCCAACGAAGGTGATCGTGAGGTCAGCGAGCGCTTGCTGAACGGAAGCTGCAGGAAACACATGCGAGCCGTTTGTATATCCAGACACACCCTCCCAAAGCAGATATTGAATGCGGAGGTAGCTCCGGTGGCGTCGGGGGTGAAGCGACCGCCGAGTCCCATGGTAAACTGATTTCACAGCTTGAGCCGACCCGTGCGATCAAGCAAGTATTGCCGAATCCATGCGTTTATTGCTTCCAAGTTGGAGGGGACTGTGACTTTCACATGCGGTCGATCGTGGAAGAGGAGAATGTACTATCGAGTATGTGGTGGAAGGTGGACATCGGGATGGGGCGGCGCAAGAGCAATGTACGAGCTCGTCATGGAAATCAGATAGCAAGAAGCTAGTTCTTGCAAGAGGAACAGAGAGGGAAGGTCGTTCTTGGAGAAGGAATAGAAAGGAGAGGTTCGGTTAGAAATGACGCTGAATTTGGGAGTAGGAAGAACTCAATGACATTCGCAACAATACTAATCGCGGTTGACGATTAAAAGAATTGGATTTAAAATGGTCATAATATAACATAAATTTACTAATTTAAAAATCTAAAAAAGAGGATTAGTAAGTGACAGATGAAGGATACTCATATATTATGTCGCGGTTGTAGAAGATGGAAAAAATAATACCCATTTTTTACATGGTTAATTGAGAAAGTTGAAGATACACAACTATATATCGTGCTAAAATAAGGACTGAATCAACTAATATTTTCGATGGGAATTGCTAAAACTTGAGAGTTTCATGGAAGCAACAAATGATATAATGGAGAAACTAAAAGTGTAGAAGCAATAAGCATGCTATTTTGGGAAAAAATAGAATAAGTAAGGAAGTTAGAAAAGAAAGATGAAATGTTAATTGCATGAGAGAGTCATGGGAAACCAAAGACCTAAACCAACAAGGTAACATATACTTTATATGACTGTTTCCGAATAAGTGTCACTTTTACTATGTGATGAGAATTTTTGGTATGCAATCTAATTATATGAATGTGGTTTTAACGGTAAATTTCTAATCAAATATTTTAGGGTAAATGCACAAAAATAGTCAAACCTTTTATCTTATGGACAAAAGTAGACTAAACTATTCAAAATGCCATAAAATAGCCAAAGCTTTTAATTTGCTACCCAAATCTAACTATCCGTCAGTTTCATTGTTAATTGTGCTAACGTGGCAAACGCTGTTACTGATATGGACAAATATTGTTGATGTGTAATTTAAATTTTCCAATAATGCATCAGAATTCAGAATTATTTTCCAAAAATAATTATGAAAAAGAAAAGAATACAAACCACCCACCAATAGGATGACAAAAATATCCGTAACCGTGGATATCCGCCCGAACCCGGCCTAATCGGGTAGGGTAAAACCCGAAACCGAAAGACATTTAGTGGGTACGGGTAAAACCCGAACTCGAATATTAGAAATAATCATTATTTTTCTCTAATATATTTTATATTTAACATATAAATATAATATTTTCATGAAATTGTGTTGTTTTAATTAATTTTCTTCATTCTAGTGAATTATTATCATACTTTTCCTCTTGCATAATGTGAGAAAACGTGTGATTATTAACATATTGATTGGAGTTATGAAGAGAAATCATTACACATGGATAACCGTGGATATCCGAAACCCGAGCGGGTATAGACATGATTTTAATTTTCTTCCCGTTTCATATGTGGGTATAAATATGGGTAAAACCCGAACTATTTTGGGTAGAGTAACGGATATGCACTATCACCGACCTGACTCATTGCCATCCCTGCCCACCAACATCAAATGAATCTTATCCCTCTCTTTTATTCGACAAATCAACGCGAGGACAACCGAAACCGTTCGGCTCCCTCGCTATCGCCGCAGTCTTCTCCCGACGTCTCTCACTTCCAGCAAGTCGCCATCGTTGTCCTCTTCCAGCAAGCCGACGCCAACTCTACTCTTCTCCAAGCCAATGCATCTCTTCTCCAGGAGCTCCAAATGTGAAGTTAGTGCGGCGCTTCCAAGACCCATATTTTCTGGATTTTAAGATTTGGAATAGAACTCTAATCTTTTTCTTCCTCCAAATTGAACCCTAATCTTATCTACAGGTTTTATAGAAGTTTAGACATTTCAAAAGGGTTGGGAGTTGAGGAAGGCTGGAGCAGAATCAGTGGCTGGAATTTGATTTGAGGTGAGTCCCTTTGTACTAATTAAACATGTCAATTAATTTAGAAGAAATAATTTAATCTTCCCATATTTAAAGGAAAACGAAAATAAAAAAAAATTAGGTTCATTTTTTAATTTGAAAACTGGCCAACGTGAAGTATGCTCATGTGGATAATGATGTGTTTGCCACGTCATCATGGTTAACGGTAAAATTAATTGATGGCTAAATTTGTCTAACAGAATGAAAGTTTGGTTATTTTATGGCATTTTGAATAGTTTTGGCTATTTTTGTCCATAAGTTAAAATGTTTGGCTATTTTTGGGCATTTATCATTTGTCTTTTTTTTTTTGTTGGGCAAACCTTTGTATTGATTTGAAAACATGCAATACGACTTCTGCTACATGTATAGCATAATTATCTTTGCCTTCATATATTATATTTTGAACAATATTGTTAAGTATCAATTTCATGGTGACGTTGAGAAGAGATTGTAGAGAGAAAAAAATATTATAGAAAAGAGTGAGAATGATAAGAGAGCTCCCCTTTTCTTGTTTCGATAATCTAAAAAATTTAGAACTGAAATTTGATATCCCATGGCACATCCATTTCTATGTTACAATTGAAAAATGAATTGGATAATGTTATGAATGAAATTTCATATTGAGCGTAAAATATTCGAATTAGAAATCCCACAGAAAACATTATGAATGCGGTTTAGTAATAATATTACTACTAATATTTTACTTATTTTAATTGAATTAATTCAGATCTTTAGATTAAAATTAAAACTAAGAACTATAATCTACTCAGTCAAATGACTAATAAGACCCATCTCCTCGATAAGGTACTAGTCAATTTGGTTGTGGGGCAAGGATGGTGTGGTTAAGGCTTCTTGGATGGGGAGGCGACTGGTGCTGTTTCAGTTCCCTTCGGCTGAGATATGTCAATGGGTGTTTGAAAATGGGCCTTGGCATCATAGGGAGAATCTCTTGTTTCTTCGGAAGTGGGAGCCTGGGATCAGTCCCCTTAAGATTGACAACTCGGCGCTACCATTGTGGATTAAGCTTTTTAATTTGCCAACGAAGCTTACTTCTAAGGAAGGGTTAGGAAGAGTGACCAGCTCGTTGGGGAGGCCGTTATGTATGGACAAATCCACTACTCAGGGTCGTAAAGTGGGCTTTGCTCAAATGTGTGGAAGTCAAGGCTACTGCAAAGAAGGTAACAAAGCGAGTGTTACACCAGATAGATTACCAAAAATTTTCATTGATGTAGTGTATTGCCATATGACGAAGGTATGTGAGAAATGCGAGTGTTTTGGGCATAGTTGTGCTAAAGTAGGAGAAGAATGTTGGTTGCGTCGAGCGCGAGACTTTATACCTGTTTTTCAAATAACTTACTCACAAAAAGAGTTAGTATGATTAAGCTCCCTAATTGGTTTTATCCTAACTAATTCAAGTCTCACTTATATTATGAAAATATCAATAGCAAATAGGAGTGCCACAAAATCACTTTCCTCCTAAATTGGACAGCAGTCCGAGTCCTACTCAAGCAGACTCACTAGTGCTAAATATCGATGGGCTCTAGGACTTAAAGCCCACTCGCAGTCTAGTATAATAAACCGACCCAGTCCAACTTAATAATCAAACCGGTCCAATCTGTAAGTAACCAAGTCAAAACGACACAGTAATGACCAAACTCAATTTTTCTTTCCTGCTCCAGAGAAATCGATCAAGCAGAAGACCTGCTTCTGTTCGAGTGATGAACCAATAAAAGAACCTGAAGAACACAAAGATAAAAACCCAGCAAGGAAAGAACCCAGGTAAGTTACTCTCAGCGCTTTACGAGTTCCTCACTCTGATCAGCCAAGTCGCCTTCAGAGGCAGTTCTCGGATCAAGTTCCCCTGCACAGTGAGACCAAGAACAGACGCAAGCAGAGGCACACACAGACAGAAACTGAAAAGCAGAAAACAAATCCAACACACGATTTTTACGTGGTTTCCAGTATTGGGAGAATAAGGATCCCAATACTGACTACTCCACGGTCAGAGAATCACGATTGTGTGATCTCTGACGATTCACTATGATATAGCGTTGACGTTCTTCGTTACAAGCAATCTACCCAAGAGCCCTTTGATCAATCTCTACCCGATTGATCTAACTCTCTTTTCTCAAACCCGAATTGCTTCCCCAGCAACTCGAAACCAGTGTTTCCCCAACACTAACCCTCTAAGCAGTTCTCCCCGAACCCTTTGAGAAACCCCTTTCCTATCACTCTAGCTATTCTCACAAAATCCCCTTTTGGCTTAGCTAGTTTTGATCTCTTGAAAGGTTACCATTGGTGGTTCTTCAGGTCGCCTTTTATAGGGAGGAATATGACCGTTAGTCATTCAAATTCCTTCCCTATTTGTGCTGATTTGATTGAGAACTCAATCCTCTAATTTGATTTGTAGTGAGTTGGTCATTTGAGCCTCATTGTGCACTGTTGTATCCAATCTTCTTGATCTGATTTCTTCTCTAATTTTTCAGCCGTTAGAACCTTCCTTCTTTGTGTTGATTTGCTAGGTAGCAAATCAGCATCTTTGATCATAGCTAGCCATTGAGAAGTTCTTTCCTTTATTGTTCTTGCTGATTGCAGAATCTCTCCTCCTTTATGCTGTCTTTGATTTTCTTTCCTTTACTTACAAGATTGCAGCATTTTCCTTCTTTGATTGAGGCCATTGATATGCTTGACTCAACATACTCCCCCTAAGCTTGTCAATGTCCCAATATATAGCTGCTGTATACTGCACACTTCAACAAACAATTTGGTGCAGCCTGTCCTAATAATATGCTTAAAAGAATACACATAAACCAAAAACAGCAAGGAATCATTTTCTTCAAAGGCAACGAAAATCAAAGAACATTTGATACTTGGATGAAGTACAAACAACTGGACGGACACTCCCAAAATAAACCAGGACTCTTAGACTTTCCAAAGAGTAGTTATGGATCTCCCCCTATACCTAATCGCTGATACTCCTAGTAAGAATACTCCGGAGAAGACATGAATGCTATTTCAGCAGCTTTGCCTTTGTCTCCCCCTGGGACATTGACGAGCTTTCAACGGGACAAATGACGAGCTGAACTGGGAAAAATTGGAGATGGGGCAGTTCGTATCAACCCAATTAAAGGACCCATTAAATAGAAGAAGATTGGATTCTATCGCATCCACCATCATGAGATTCGAGCTTCCTTTGGGGAAGATTTGAAAGGGAATCTTTACGAAGAATTGATAGAGCTTGAGCTGTTAGGGATTTTAGGATGCAGCTCGACACTAGAGGAAGAAGGAAAGGCAAGCTTTACCTTCCTTGAATCACACGAACGAAATTAACACAAGGGAATCGGCTCACAAAGCCTGATGAGCGGCTCTAAACTTAGGAAAATTAAATTAAAGATGTTGGCTCAAATTTTGCAACAAATGCTAGGGAATTTGATGATATTTTTAGAACTTAGGAAAATTAATTTGAGCCTCAACAGCACAAGCTAATTATAACCTAAATCTTTAAGCTCACTAGAAAGTAGAAGTCCAAGTTCTCGACGAATGGTCAGAAACTGATCCACACTAAGAGGTTTAGTAAAGATATCAGCCCATTGATTTGTCGTAGGCACAAACTCAAGCTGAATTTGGCCTTCTTCAACCAATTCTCGAATGAAATGATACCTAATTTCTATGTGTTTGGTTCGAGAATGTTGTACGGGATTTTTAGCCATGTTAATGGCACTCGTATTGTCACACAATACGGGCATGGACTTAATTTCTAACCCGTAGTCATAAAGTTGATGCTTCATCCAAAGAAGTTGAGTACAGCATAGGCCTGCGGCCACGTATTCAGCCTCGGCGGTGGATAGAGCAACAGAGCTTTGTTTTTTACTAAACCAAGACACAAGAGAATTTCCGAGAAATTGACATGTCCCGGAAGTACTCTTACGATCAATTATGCACCCAGCATAGTCTGAGTCAATATAACCAATCAAATCAAGACTTGACTCACTATCATACCATAGACCTAGATCCATCGTGCCAGCTAAGTAACAAAAAATTCTCTTGACTGCAGTCAGATGACTTTCCTTAGGAGCACTTTGAAATCTAGCACATAGACACACACTGTATTGAATATCGGGTCTACTAGCTGTGAGATACATTAGTGACCCAATCATTCCTCTATAGAACTTCTCGTCAACTGACTTACCCGATTCATCCTTGTCTAGTTTAATCGAAGAGGCCATAGGTGTAGATGCAGTTTTTAAATTCCCAAATTCAAAACGTTTTAACATATTTTGAATGTACTTGGTTTGACTAATGAAAATACCTCGAGTTGTTTGTTTAATTTGTAAACCCAAAAAATATGTTAATTCTCCCATGGCACTCATTTCAAAAGTATTCTTCATGATATTTTCAAAATATTCGCACAAATCTTTGCTAGAAGATCCAAATATAATGTCATCAACATATATTTGAACTAGTAGCATATGTTGTCCTTTATTTTTTATAAAGAGAGTTTTATCCACTGAACCCCTTTTAAAGCCTTCTCCCAAAAGAAAAGAACTAAGTTTTTCATACCATGCCCGGGGTGCTTGTTTAAGACCATATAGTGCTTTCTTTAACTTATAGACATGGTTTGGGTAACGAAAGTCTTCAAAACCGGGTGGTTGTTCAACATACACTTCCTCTTTTAGATCTCCATTTAAAAAGGCACTTTTGACGTCCATTTGAAAAAGTTTGAAACCCTTAGAGCTAGCAAACGCACATAGCATTCTAATAGCTTCTAATCTGGCAACTGGGGCAAAGGTTTCATCGAAGTCTATTCCCTCTTCTTGATTATACCCTTTAGCCACTAACCTAGCCCTGTTCCTAGTTGCTACCCCATTTTCATTAGACTTGATCTTATAAATCCACTTAGTCCCGATAATGACTCTATTAGGTGGTCTGGGTACCAACTCCCACACATTAGCTCGTTCAAACTGACCCATTTCTTCATTCATAGC